GCCCGTCACAGCCAGAGGATGATTCGGAGGCCGTTGACGACCAGCTGACACCCGCAGGACCTAAAAGCAGATCTAGGCGGTCTTCAAGCCACACGGGATCACGACTCAGCTGGACTCCCAACAGGATGAAAACGGGGTGAAAATAGGGAGATACCAAGTCACTTGTTAGTGGCATTGATTTGGGTGGTGTAGTATATAGAACCTAGGTAAAAGAAAAGGCGTATTGGGTAGGACTAGAGGTGGCATTTTCCATTCTTTTGCATATTTGATGTCCAATATGAAGGAGGAATATGGAGAACATATATCATAGCATAGTGAGCGAATTGGGTGGAATAAGTGTTGTCCTTCTATGAACAGGATAGGGGTGAGCCCTAGATCAGTCTTTATGGAAACGAGGGCAACCTCAGCAAAAGACGGGCTGGCGGGAATTTTTATATGTAATACAAAAGAATTGATATATCGTGCTCATTTATTATGGTCGATTTTGTGTAAAGTTTTTTAAATGTTTATTCATTGATCAAATTATATGACTTCCATGGTATATGCCGCCTCCAGTTTATCCAACCACCAAATGCTATGTCCGTCTCGTCGCCCTGTATAACCAGGCGATGTTGTAGACGTAATAAAGAACGCTTAACGTGAAGAAATTGTATATGCGTATGCAGAAGCAGATCTGTAGGACCCTTTATGATGAAGTTTTGTAGACAAACAAGACCATCTACTGTCGTCGACCGAGGATGTTGAACAGACTTGTCCTGGGGTTCTCGATGGCGCCGTCAAAGGTCCTTGCTCGGTTGGCTTCACTCTCGGGGGTGTTGTACTTTGCAAAAGAGCGATCGAACTTGGCTGATGTGGTGGCCAGTTGGGAGGTCACGTAGCTAGCGACGAGAGCGAAGCTGCCGACAGCGACGACAACGGGGAGAGCCCTTTAATAATTGTTAGGGTCTATGGGATAACGGTGGAGATGCATGGGGACTTACTTGGGGTAAGCGGCAGGCTTAGCGAGCGCAGGTCTAGCGATGGCGGCCATTGTGTAAGTGGGTGTTGGTGTAAGTGTAAGTGAAGATATAGACACTTTTTGAGATGATGGTGAGCTGAGAAGACAGGACTTGACTGGACTGTATTGATGATGATGATGATGATGAGAAATCACTCCATTTCGACGAGTTGGACCAAGTCTCTTATACTAATTTACATTGTTGTCAACTTTTCTTGCGCTGTTGATCATGAGCCGTAGGATTCTCAATTGCCAATTGAGAGTCGGTCGATGGTGGTGTGATTGTAGGTGCTGGCCCCTGGGCTGTCTGACCTATTCGGGCGATTCCGGGGAACCAAGGCATTCCAGATTTGGGAACTTGGGGAATGGAGAGGATGCGATCAATGTGAAACGTATTTTTCAATATGACAACAATAATAATAATATGTGCCTTATTATCATTTTTATTCGGATTAATGATTTGTAGTTTGTTGATGTTTTATTTATTTATGTGGAGCTCCAACAGCCTTGCATAGACTGCGACTTACTGCTCTGTACTATATACCATACTGTATAAGTATCTCAAAGTATACAACTACAAATACAGGCACTGGATATGACTGCTATACCAATATGTCTTTGCAATTCGGCTCTTGCCGGGATGAAGCCTTCAGCAACTGTCGACCTCTATCAACCCCTGGCCTCATGCTCCCTCTTCAGGCTCTGAACATCTGACCATGTCAAGGCGGGGTCCACCGAACACCAGCAGCAGCCAACACAAGGTGACAGCTTTTGGCTCAGCCTGGCCTTGTCTCCTGTCAGTGGCAAACCTGCTGAACCCAGCTCAGTGGTGCCATACCCCAGGTAACATCGAACAAGGACGAAAATGCAACGCCCAGTCCCGACGATGGGGAACCAACTTGGAAGCCTGATTCTGTCTGTCTCTGTGGACCTGTAATCCACGGCATGTGATTTGCAGTTGGTGTTTTGCTCAGAATTGACTTTGCCATATTTTGGGTCTCGTCAGATCATCGCCCAGTCTTGGGAAATGATCTTGAGCGAAAGACGTTCTTGCTGCTAACATACACGTCAGCCAGTATTACCTGGCTCACATGAGCGGCGACGACGAGTGATATCGCCCAAGTTGCAATCATGGTTCTCATCTCGATCAACCCTTGTACCTTCTTCCATCCCTCATTGATTTTCATTTCTCCGTTCCTTGGTGAGCTCTCTGATGAGTCTTGTGTTGCCGCTTGTGGTGAGACCTGTCGTTAATACAAACCCAGCCGGTCTTGATGTGCAGTCACAACCAACGTAATTTCAATCCGTGAAGCCATGTCGTTCTGGACATGGGACTTCAGCCCGAACTATTTTTGTAGCTAGGTTGTACCAGCTTGGGATAGCACCGAGCCCATCTCCCCAATGAGTCCACTCGCGCCAGAAATCCAGAACTGCGAGTCCAAGGAGAGTCCTCATGGCGAAATGCGCGTCGTTTCCCGGTTCGTGCAGCTTGCCTGCGTAGCGAATCCTCAGCCTGTTCATCATAGCTGCCAGCGATGGTGCAGTTTTGTTTTGAAGTGGAATGTATTGTGCTAGGGCCAGATCGATCCAGCAGATTGCGGTCAGGATGATCTCGAATTCTTTCAAGAGTGCCAGGTCGTTGTGAAGCGTGTATGCAACGCCGATCACATCTCTTCCTTTCTGCCACTCAACGAATCTGCGCTTCAAGTCCTCCCGAGATATGGCCTCTGTGTCACCGAAGCAGAAACGGTCCACTTTGGGCACGCGGTCCTGGACGGCAAACTGATAAGTTCGAATGAGGTCTGATGGATTATCAAGTTTGAAGCCATTCTGGATGACGTCTCGAAGATCCCTGGTGTCCAGAATAGCCACACCGAGATGGAACGACTTGGCTCCCTTCTGTCCCTCGGACAGGTTCCTGAATTTGTCAGTGTCAAGACAGATGAGTCTGACGTCTCTCATATTACTGCCTCGAAGTCGGTATGGTAGCCTGTCTGCTATCTCTCTTTTCAAGCGTGGACTGAGCTGATAGCCGAATACCATCCGAATCAGCTAATTGCTCTGCGCCTCCTGACCAACCTGAAATCCTGAGGCGCATGGTACAACTCTCTTGAATAAGGCATTTCGAGTGACCATCCCATTAAATCAGCCAATGCCTTCTGTCTATCTTTCCAAGTCATGCTGGCTCGTCTGGCCTTGTACTCAGCCTCTTCCTGTTCCAGGTTTGCAATCAAAAACCGTTGATCCCACTCTGGTTTGTCCTGTTTTAGGTGCATTTCTGATGGTTCCGGTTCCGGTTCTGGTTCCGGTCCCTGTTTTGATATTGGTGGTCTCTTGGGAACCCATTTTCCCCTCCGTGATCTTTCTGCCTTGTCTTTCTGTGAGTTGTGTATCGGGTCTCTCAGTGGTCTCCACTCTGATTCTGGGACAAACGTGAATCTTGTGGGTTGTGGTGGTTTCGCTTCTGATGAAGGCTTTGGTTGTGGTGGTTTTGATGATGATGGCCTCACTGAATAGCTCCTTATCGCGTGATTCCGAGCTAGCGATAGCATGCTCGGCAAGGCCCACCGCCTCGCATAGACCTCGAACATGAGTATGTCTTTGAATGCCGCGCTACTTTCCCGCGAAAGGCCGATGGACTGTGATTCGTTGAGGCTCGGGACAGGACACAGAGTGCTTTGGTGTTGAGTTCCATTGATGAGAATTCAACAGCTTGGCACGTGACCCCGCCTGCAGCCAGCCCGTGGCGCAGAGGAAACAAGCTGTGCATAGGTAGGTAGCTAAGTTCCATTATTGCCAAATCACTCTTCGCAATGATCGCAAATATCTTGAAGCTACACAAAACGTCGATTCATGTCGCCTGGCATGTTAGTAGATGTCATCGATACTTGGAAGCATCCAATGGTTCAATGGCGGATGATCGGCGATAAATAACGGGCTGTAGTCAATTGCTCCAAAACGTGGTTGATAAGCTTAAACCGAGTCAAACCCAAATAGAAACAACTCACATCAACGAGAGAGGAATATGGCAGCTGTTGCAGACCGATAATGATTATCAACACATTGTGGTTAGAGGAGCACATTACTCGGAACTACGACTATTAGACCATACACGAGCTGACTGTACGATTGGAGTTCTGGCAAGAAACATCAATTTTCTCCCCCAGGTCTTCCCCTCGTGGCTTGGCTTATAAGAACTCTGCTGAGAAACTCAACGTTGCCGCCGTCACGCCAGACTTTTTATTAGATACCAAACATTTAATTATTGGGGAACCTAGACCGAGGTAGAGTAAGGGGATCGGACCGACTCCAGATTTTTGCGCGAATGTTGGTGGGTTGAAATTCTTTACCGTTCCACATTTGAGCTTACTTGAACCTGGTTGAGAATCATAAGATGGGGGAGCCTGGGTTGTTAATCAAGGTATTCACTGAGTTGAAGAGAAAAGAAGTGTTTATCATATGGACAACTATCTTGAATGGGAGATTGTAACCTTCAGCTCTCATTGGCTGGGTATGATCGCGTACCTGTTCTGTTTACAGGGCCTCTGCTGTAAAAAGAAAAAAGACTCTAAACCGTCCCCCATGGGCAATTATTATTCAGCCCCCCAGCCCCAGTAGTCTAGACATACAAACTATTACCATTGAATATCCGCCAAACTCCGTGGCCCACGGCCCGAACAGGAACCCCAAGCACAAAAGTGACGTGTTGGTCACCAGGTTTAGCTCTCATCTTCGCCTCTAGCTGATTCTTCTCTACATCGCCATTGACCAATCGATCTGCTGTCCCCACAATGCAGCCAATGCAATGTTCCAACTTTGAATTCTCTCTTTCTCTTGGATGGATCTGGAGACTGAAACTCTCTCCATCAACAAAACGAAACTGCAACCATGAAATATCTGGGGAATCGTCAATAACCCACCCTGGACATCAAAAGAGCGAGAGATAGAGAGAGGGAGTCATGGTCTCACTCGCTTACGATCTCGGAAACCCGCGTAATTCGACATGAGACTACACTGGTGGAATTCAACACCATCCACCAGCACCAACTCAAAGATGGGCCCTTCCAGTGAAGCTATCCCCATCCCCACTGATGCACGCCCCATTCCTCTGCCAGAGTTACCAGAGTTCGCGACAGGTTCGCCCAGGAGCAGCGAGCCCGAGCTGGAATCTCTACCAAACGACCTCACCAATTCACTATGGCTACCGCATTCTCATGCCTCTGATTCAACAACGAGGCGAGTCTATCGCGGTTTCGCAGAAGAGAAAGAAGCTACCTTCTTTTCATGCTGTCGGCAGTACCCAAAGGCAGTGGGATGGTCATTATTGCTCTTCCTGACTGTGGTCATGGAGTAAGTCCTAGAATCATATCATATTCAGACTGCACAGCTAAAACATTCTCAGAGCTTATGACAAGTCGCTTGTAACTGGTCTCTTTGCTTTTCCTGCATTCAGAGAGAAATATGGAGAACCAATTCTACCAAAGGACACTCCAGCTGAAGATCAGATGTACGAGATCTCGCCGTCATGGCAGATGGGTCTGCAGAACGCCGCAATTGCATGTGAAATCATTGGACTTTTGGCACACGGCTACATCACGGATCTTATTGGGTACCGAAAGATGATGCTTGCCAGTTTGTTTTGGATGTGTATCGCTGTGTTTCCTGCATTTTTCGCCGACAGTATCGGCGTCCTATTAACCTCACAAGCTCTCTCTGGTATGCTCATAACCCCCTAATCGTACGAAAAATACTGACCGTATCTTAAGGGCTGTCATGGGGTGTCATCGAAATTCTTGCTGCGACTTATTCAGCTGAAGTTGTGCCAAATGCTTTGCGACCGTTTGTCCTCAGCAGCATCAACATGTGCTGGCTGGTCGGACAAGTCATCGGCACCGGCATCCTCCGGTCTCTCGTTCATGAAACCTCCCAATGGTCTTATCGCCTTCCCTTTGCGCTTCAATGGGCGTGGGCGATACCGTTGTTGTTCGGCGTGTGGTTCGCGCCCGACAGCCCTTGTAAGAGAACTCGCCCTGCTGAACACAACGCAACTGACATGGCAAACAGGGTGGCTAATACGCCATGAACGAACGGACGAGGCGAGAAAATCTCTGACTCGTCTTACTAATAAGAATAGTACCGATATAGAGGATACTATCTCACTAATGAAGCACACCAACAAGATGGAGAAGGACTCCAACTACGGAGGAGCCAGCTATCGAGATCTCTTCAAAGGAGTCAATCGTCGACGAACAGAGATTTCATGCATTGCCTGGGTCTGCCAAGCATTCAGTGGCTGGTCGCTCACATCTTATGCACCTTATTTCTTCGAACAGGCTGGTTTCAGCGCCTCTATATCCTTTAACCTCTCGACCGCCTGCTACGGCGTTGGCATCGTCGGCGGCATCATTGCCTGGATCCTACTCCCCTTAGTGGGTCGTCGGAAACTATACATATACGGGTTGCTCGCTCCCATCTGCTTGTTGACCGCTGGCGGCGTGGTATGGGTGGTGCTGAGCGATCGCACTGGTGCGAACTGGACCTTGGGCGGTTTGATCATCGCCATGACTTTTATTTACGACATGACCATCGGCCCCGTTTGTTATATCGTGGTAGCCGAAATACCTTCTACCCGACTGCGAGTCAAAACCGTTGCTCTCGCACGGGTTACATATAACCTCTGTTTAATATTCAACAACATCATCATGCCCAAGATGCTCAACCCATCTGCTTGGAACATTGGCGGCGCGTCATGTTTCCTCTACGCAGGAACGAGCTTCTTCTGTCTGATATGGTGTTATATCAGATTACCCGAGACGAGAAACTTGACATACCTCGAATTAGATATCTTGTTTGAGAGAAAAGCACCTACGCCAAAATTCAAGGAGCTTCAGGATAGGCTTGAGGATAGTGCGTATCTGTCCATGACGAGGGCGGAGCGATTGACGAACTGGCACGGCTGGTTAGCATATTCATAATAATGATTTTAATTATGTTCATCTAGCGTTCACCATAGTCCAGCTACGTGATTGTTCAGTCAAGTTATCGTGGTGTATTGCATGCGGCTACCTAGACTTCAGACACAACTCGGAGGAAGAATACATTTCCTGATACCATTATCAGCCTTTTAAAGCTACCTATAATGTCTTCATAACATATACTGCAGTTATTCGGTGACACCTTACCTGATTTACTTGCTGAGAATAACCTGTTTCAGGGGCTTGGTCATTTAACAGGGCCAACATACGACACTGCGCATTCATTTTAAATCACAGCTGATCACTAAGTCACGGCATTACCCTCTCTTAGCATCATGTACAATGCAGTCCCTTAGAACATCTCTCTACTGGCTGTCGTGAGTCAGGGCTTGGACCTCACTCGTATGAGACTCGGTCAGTCCACTCAAACTTGGAACTGCGATAAATTTGACTTGATCCCACCAGGCATCTTAGTATAGAATCTTCTAACCATAATCGTCTCTAATCGTTCGGTATGGCTTGACAACACCCTCCAAATCCGATTACTCAGGGTCATGGCAGGTGCTCAGTTAGTACATCATGGTCTAAGGCACAGATGTCCGGTTTCCGCTGCCTGTCATGAGTCGTTCTCATAATTTTCAAATTTGTTTGTTCTACCTGTATTAGTCACACACTCATCCCTTTCTTTAAACATGCTGACAACATGCATCGTCCATGCTGGTAATGATATGGTCCTAAGGTAATCATTGCAGAGAAACATGAAATACAATTGAATTAACTCGGTTGTCCAAATATCAAGATTCATTTAGATTCAGTGTTGACAAGTGCAGTTCTGTTACATCAGGCTGGTCTCAAGACAAGGATCCAATGCTATCCTCCGGTATTGATGTTTCTCTTTGAATTTTTTGGTCTATATGATCATGAGGCTTTCAATGAACGTATCTTGCCCATTGACAATGTTTGAACAAAGACTACATGGAGTTACCCAGCTAAACGTCGATGTCACCAACTAGTTGGTGCATTATCAATCAATGGCTTTCTAGGAACTCTTGCTAGAGTGATATCAGGTTCTTTCGATAATCGAGTTTTGTCAACAGGAATTGGACTCTGAGTGTTCATTATGTCGGATCATATGGCAACCCCTCGCAATATACAAAGCTTGAATTGACACAAGTCAACAATCAGGTTACACATTACGATCCCCAGCTCAACAGAAAGGAACGTCAACTCTCTCGTGCTTCTTTGATACCTCTTTAGGTATGGGTGGGTACGACGATCTCAAAGTGTGTTTCCCCAGACGAACAGCAACTTGGACTACAAACTGTTGCACGGAGACATGCTTCTGATCTGAAAATAGTCTCACATTATAGCTCGAGTAATCATTTGTCCCGGAATATGGCTCCTTCGGCCTTTGAAGGTAACCCATACAGTTAGCATCAGCAGTTGTTATTGTAGCTACCGACTTTCGGTTCCCTTGGCCCTGACCATGTACTAAACATGCTCGTTCAAATGAACGAATCAACTGTAAGATTCTTGCTTATAGTAGTGCACCCATATCAAATATGTACTGTCATATCAGGACCAAGTGCCAATCTATGGATCGCACTCACATGCTGCGTACATGCGAATATCACTATCATCCACCTGCCCATAGCTCCCCCATGGTCAAGAAACCACAGTCAGGGTATTTCGTATCTCTAGGCACTTATGTGAGGGTGTCTATCGTAGGACCTTTTGCCCTTGTTACAGAATGTCTTGCCTCCTTCTCGTCGTGGCTAGTCCCCCGACTATCATGCCAAGGCATCCTACAAAAGAGCACATGCTCGCAAATTCATATCCAGGATACTCCCTATACTCGAAGACTAGTAAATATGTCCAACATGGGCAGGTAAATGTAGGTTTCTCGTGGTCTTGGATGAGCTAACCCTGTCCATCGTCATCAGGGCTCACCATGCCCTATCGCGGTCAGCTCGGTGTACATATCCGAAGGGCAAACAGGAGTTTCCCCACAGAATAGGAATTGATACACCGCCTGGGTAAATGGCTTCATAAATTCTGCAGTCACGAGATAGTAAACAACATGTTGTAATAAGCGGTCTAGAACATTGTTGCCCTCCTGGGCATAGGAGATTTGTCTCCGCTACACGCCCCTTGGGGCCCTGAGGGCATTATGGAGCCAGCTACTGCACAACAAAGTACAGTGCAGCAAAGAGAACCCTGTTGAAAATCTTGCCTTTTTGGCGTTATTTCCCTTATCGCAAGCGGGGAGTTGACGATTTTTCCCGTGGTCAAAACATCGACAATTAAAGCGCTTGTAGCCCTGCCCTTCACCAACCCCTGACTAGCGTCTGACTCAATCCAATGTCGCGGCTTTTACCCCCATAACCAGAAGGAAAGGGTCTTCTAGAAGTTCTTTTGTTCTTTGTCCCACATCTGAGGAACTCCTGTCACTGTTGCTGGCATCATCGCTCCAGTTTTGCCCGGATGAGAAGCATAAAGAGAAGGTCCATAACCGAGCACATAGACTGATGGAGTGAAATACACTTGATAGCCGAGATTGCCAGCAAGGCCTTGTCGTGAGATCCAGTAACCGTTGACCACGCAATCTCAACAATCGGTGTCTGAGACAACAGCCCAACGTGCAGGTAGGTAGTCTGTCCAGCGCAATATTATTTTTTTGATGAGGTGGTTGGTTGGGCATTCGTGCATTGCCCAGCCCAAATGTCGCTTTGCCGCTTTTGGCGAAGGTAATGAGAGGTCCACGAATTGAATGGTTACCAAAAAAAAAGTCGGGCTAGAAATAGCCGAAGTGTCCAATGTAAGAGGATGTTCACAGTGGATTGTGCAACACGAAAAATAATAGTAATATCTTGATCAAAACATGTAAAATGTTAACAAATGGATATCCAAGTAAATGCACCGCTCAATGTCTTCCTTGACGTGCCATGCCGCTTGCGCCTATGCCTCTCCTCGTCTCAAAAGACGATTGCTTTGTGAATGTGATATGTACCGATGACAGTCCTGCTTATGAAAAAAGAAATCATCTCCCAATTCACCGGACTCGATGCTCTGTTCCTGCGGTCCTAAATGACAACTCCTCTCAACAGATGCAATACTCCCTCTCTGTCCGAGTCTTCTCCGACCGCGTCCCAAGGCTCTCCATAAGCCCGGCCTTGAGCGGGATTTTATTCTGTTGCATCCGATCCCGCTTGGGCGGGGGTCAAATGCCGAAAGGGCCTGTTTGAAAAAAGAAATATGAGAAATTTTGGTCAATGTACAAGAGACAAATAAGTTCCTGGCAATCCGGTGATTGTGCGCTTTTTCTCCACCTCGCGGTGATAAGAAAGGGGAATAAGTAAATAAAATAACGTGTAATGACGGGAAACTCCTGAAAATGCCACTCGCTTTCTAGAATGATGAAGTATTCCCATGTCTAATGGAAATTGTGATTGGTTGTCAGGGTGTGTTTGGCCGATACCCTCATGGTGAAATAACCATGAGTGCCGAGGCCCAGGCTGTTTCGGGTTCGTGTTCGGTGGCCAATCCCCTTGAGTGATGCTAATTTCGACCCGGTTTTCCCGAGTCAGAACCAGGTCAATCGCTTTGCTCTGGTTCCATCAAAAGTCGTGTTGCACTTTCTCCAGGGCCTATCGTCGGGTGGTGGGACCATCGCTCGTGGGCATGCTTCTAAAACCCTTCCATTGAGATGGGGGGCAAAAAATTTGCATCATCGCATCCAATGGCATGGTTAAACGTCAGAAACTCCATAATGAGTCCATGAAGTGGGTCCCAAATCGGCTGCACTTCCGTGGCTTGTCCTGCCTGAACCGGCCTCGTTGCAATGCAAAGAAACCATGGCCAGGTACATGACGTGTTGCATGTCGTAAATTGAGAAATTCAAGCCTTTTGATTTGTGGTGTCGATTCTGGGTACGGCACAGCGAGGGACACCTAGGCTGTGATAGGAATCCAGCGAGCCGGAACACCGTTTGCTCCCATCTCGTAGGGCTTCGTTGAGGTTTGTCGTGGAGGAAGTGCGAAACGAGCTCGGCCCGGTCGCTGGTCATCGAGCTTTCCGCGCTTGCGCATCGCCATTTCCATGACAGCGATACGGATGAAGTCGGAGTTCTCACGCATTTCCCGCTGTCGCATGCCTGGGACCGATTGAGTGGGGACCTGCGGCTGTGGCTGCTGAGGGACAGGGGCTGGCTGCGACTGGAGCGATGTTGATGGATAAGAGTTTCGGGTAGAGCCCGGGGCTGTTCGGGAGCGCTGGATCTTGTAAGTTCGCATCTGAATCGATGCAGCAAAAGTTCCGGCAAAAACGGTCTTGGTTGGCGGTTCGATTCTTGCGTTAGTGGTAGGATTCAGATAGCGGCGAACTGCGGCGGAAGGCATTTCCTCGGAAACGGGTGGCCGACGCTCATCAGCATAGGGAACGTTGGGGTCGATGGTGAGAATAGATCGAGTCAAGTAATCATCCGGTGGGATAGAAGGAAGGTTTAGAACCGAGAAAGATCGGGCCGCTGATCGAAGAGCTCGGAGTGAAGCGGTAAGATTTGACTTGAAGACGGACCTCAAGGGTTTGAACGGTTCCAGGAACTGAGACTTGGGCTGAGCCTCCTCAGGCTGGCTGAGAGAGCTGAAGTCCAGCTCGTCGACGTCAACATCATCCCCAGCCAGTGGGTGTTCGTCAACGGAGCCAGGTGGAGAGATAACGGGCTCCAGCGACTTTCGCATAGGCGTTAGGTTAGTCCTGCGGGAGCATGGACTAGGTGTCCTTGGGCTTCCGAGAGATGAGAGGCATTCGCTAGAGAATGACTCGTCCAGTGATGGGATGGAATCGATGGAATAAGTTCTTGTTGACATGCCGGAACCAATGTTGCAATCGCTCACACTATCATCATCGTCGGCAACTTCCTGAGGTGGGGATAGAAGCATGTCCAGAGGGCTACCGAATGTCCAGCTCAGTTCCTTTTCCGAAGCATGCTGACAGTCAAT